CCGCTGGATGGCGCCAGCGTTCGAAATTGCAGAGCGTAATCGTGGATGGGAGAGGCGCCCTGGCGCAGCTGCAGTAGTTGGTCTGACACCGAGAGCACATCTGTAGTGGAGCCAAACACTTCCTTGAAATGGTTAGTAAATACTTCATAGGAATTAATTATGAGGCTATTTGCGTTCCATATTGCTTTCACCCACATCAATGCTCTGCTGGAAAGGAGAGAGATCAAGAAGAATTTCTGTGGCTGCATCTCAATAAAGAGCGCTACTTGAAGGAGAAAGCCGCCACACTCAGCTGTGTCACCCGCATAGGAAGGAGGAATGGCCATGGGACAGACAGAGGCAGATTGAGGAGTTGGTGCTGGTGTGAGAGTGGCCCAGAGAGCATTCACCAGTTTCTCGAGGACATCTGTGGGAGTGGGAGGTCGAGGATCCATGGAGGTGACTGTTATGGTCCGGTCTTCTGTCACAAATCAAGCCGGAGACAACAGGTAAGTGAATGAAAGGCAGGTTTATTAACAGTATTGCAGAGGCAGATCGTCTGGAACAATGGCAGGTGAGAATCCAACACAAAGTAAAGTTCAATGATTCTTACCGGAGTACTGATGTTTGGTTTCTTTGCAGGTTCGCGGAGAGTTCGGGATCCAGGAGCGGAGGAGAGCAACGTTGGAAGATCTTCGTGGATCTAGAGGTAAGTATAAACAGGTAAGTAGCATTTAGAGAGTCTGGTAAAGTTCAGTGTAGTGAACAGTAGACCGGACGGTGAGTGACTGGCAGGAGCGTGCTTATGAATGGTGACTTGATTGAAGACGACAGGTGCGGGGAATCAGAACTCAGGTGAGCGTGATCTGGTGTAAGTTGTGGCTGGTGATTGTGGTGATTCGCTGACAGACATGGGGGTAAGTGATTAATGACAAAATTTTATTTTGGGGTGAAGTAACCCTTTAACCAACACGATAACCGAGCGTCCAGGGAGACTCCTTCTTAAAGGTGTAGTATATCATTACACATGGTTTCTAGTGTAAATATCTATTCTTGATCTCAACAATTCAGAGTAAAAAAAAAGCAAATTATTCATATCAATAATTTGATATTCACCATTGACAGTGTTAAATTCTAATATCTATAATGTAATTGTTGCTAATGAGAAAACCATTTATTTTAGATATCTACAATCTCCATTTTATTAATATCTGAAATGCATTTAAAGATATCAGAAATACAAAATTAAATATGTTCCAATATCCAGATATCAAGAGAGTCTTGATATCCAGATTTAAAGAGTTAACAATTCAACTAGTGCAAATTAATCCTAGATATCAGGAACGTCATAATGATAATAATATCATAAAGTAATTATTGATATCAAAAATTATATTTTACTAGAAAGAAATACAATACTGATATCTGTATTTGGAACACATTTAAGTGCCCTGTTAACAGTTAATCAATTGAAATTAATTGTCAATTATTAATTTAAAATGCTATTTTTCATTACAAATGCAATTTCTACTAGTGGAAATGCTGATTGTTTATACCAGGAATTACATTTGCCCCAAAGCATTAAAATACAAATAGCAGATCAATAATTATGTTTCTTACTAAATCACATTTTTTCAAAGTTTGATATAAATAACTGGTATTCCTGCAAGTGATTCCCCAGTTTTTGATGCCCCTACAATAGGAGCATAGCATCCACCGTTTCTTAGTTTACTCTGTCCACTTGACCGTTAGCCTGACTGTGATAGCCAGAGGTTAAATTTACATTGATATTTAGATGGCAACAAGAAGCCTTCCATTCCTTTAACGTGAACTGTGGTCACACACAGTCTGAATATAGGATGCTGAAGATGTGAATGGGTAACGGAGTGCATTCCTTTACCAGGTGCAGGAGTAATGAGGGGAGAGTCAAAAGGGTGGATTCCAAAGAATTACAAGGCGAGTATTGCAGATGAAGCATCTGATACCCAAGTTAAGACCAGACAAAGATTGACTGTGAGGTGTGTGCTTATATACAGGTGGTGATACCATGTTCTGTCACTGAAGCTAATGCTAGCTAGAAGTAGAGATGGGCAATATTTATGATACATGTATTTCAAATTCGTATTTCAAATACAAAATAGTATTTTGTAATTTGTATTTGATAGGGTTGATGAAAATGGCTTCGTATTTTGTATCAAAATACTTTAGTGTTTTGTATTTTTGTAGTTTTTAAAATACTGTAAAATACTTTGTAAGAAGTCTACATGATGACATCATAAAAATGCAGCCTCTGATTGGTGCCTACTCAATAGGCTAGTTTGCCCAGACTTGTTGAGATCAGAAGTTTGATGCATATGGAAGAAGGTGGTCAAGGTAAGAAACGTGCAGGCTGCCAGCTTTCCATAAATTGCTATAATTTTTAACAGTTCATGTTAAGTTTTGGTGTTCGTTTTAGTAGCCTAGGCTAAATAGTTTACCAATTTACATAATGTTCTTGAAAACTATATACCGAGCAGCAGTCCCACAATTAACGTTAGCTTGCTACTTTCAGCCTATGTTAAGTTCGTCGGTTGTACACGAAAACAATAATACAGCGTTTCAGTGTTGTACAACATTACATTTTAATGCCAATATATTGGTGTAATGGTCTAAACTCGCGTGGAGCAGCAGCATTTACTGTGAGCCGCTCTGAGACAAATGCACTGTCAGCACAGCAGTGAGTGGATGCTCTCTGTGATTGATTGATTCTGTCTTGCAACATTCGCGTGTGTTCAGATGAGCAGGAAAATAGTTCTATCCTACACAATTACTCGCTAACAAAGGTTATTCGTCCAATTCAAACTTCGGATATATCCCTAGCATGTGTGTATTGTAAAACCTGTTTCACACCGCATGGCACATCGGCGTGCATGTTAACGGAAGACGCCTGATACACCGCACGCTGCAGCAGTGCGCTTTTTTTTTTCGGTATGCATGTTAACGAATGAGTGCTTTTACACCGGACGCTGCAGCGGTTTTGGCTTCGAGTCTATTTTTTGCTGCGCTGCTCAGCAGCTCGAACTTAAAGCGCCAGTACAAGGTTGAAAGACAATTTGACACAAAAAAATTTAGTTGACAAAAAAAGTATATATTTCACAGAATAAGCATATACTCGTAAAATCTTTTAGTAGATCTCAATTGCAGTCAGTTTCGTTCCTTTGCGAGATCTCAATGACTGTCAAAAGGAGGGATTTGACATCTTTGGAGCAGTATCTCCAAGCACCTTTTTTGTGAGGTTTAACATGATCATCCCATCCTCAGCTCCAGTAGAGCGTTTATTTTCCTTTGCTGGACTGATCAACCGGCCCCATCGAAGATGCCTAAATGCTACACTTTTTGAAAAACTTGTTGTGCTTAAGGCATCATTAGCTAAAGAGACCTCTCTCTGCATTGTAGTCCACAGGCTACACACACACTCATTCAATACACTCCCTCACACACACACACACACACACACACACACACAAACTAACTTTTTCACCCACATTCACATAAGTTTGACTGTTTCTGTTAGAACGTTTCAAATGTTTTGGAATACCTGCTCTGTAGTATTCTCTTTTGGATTATAAGTAAATGTTCTTACTACACTATTAATGTGTGTATGTCCTCTATACTTCTGTGGCTCTCAATAGATTCAGTGCTTGGAGTTGGGTTAATACTCCTTGACAAGTTCTGTGGCTACTTTCTGATTACGTTTCTACATTTAAAAACAAAACATATTGATCGTTTAATAATTTTTGAAAAGCTCAAATGTTTGTTTTCAACTTCCAAATAGGTGTCCAATGATTGATAAATAAATGTTTGATCGCTGAATATTGTACATTTGCAAACTGTTAAACATTAAACTGTTGGTTACTTTAAAACTAACCTTCATCTGGGAGATCACAGGGATATGTGAATATTTGATCTGTTAACTGATTGCATATGTCAGATATATTGCATGACTCGGGCAGAGAAAAGCTGTTGCTATCAAACATTGTTTACTTAATCAACAGTAAGTGTAATGAAGGGATAGATCAAATAGGCCAATTGATGGAAGGTTTGCGAAGAAATTTCATGCTCCCTTGTAAAAGTATTTTTTAGTATTTTAAAAATACAAAAATACAGTAGTTTATTTTAATACATGGTGTGGCTGCTGTATTTTGTAGTTTATTTTGATACATTTAAAATGAAGGTTTTTGGTATTTTATTTTAAAATACATTTTGATGTATCTTTGCCCAACCCTGGCTAGAAGGACTCTTTATTTGCACTAGTATTTATTTTACTTTGATTCATCGATTAGAGAACAGAAAGTGTCTGTCTGCCTGGACTATAAAGAGAATGTTCTGATTATACTGCATAAGTTAAAAAAAAAAAAAAAAACTCTTTGTTACCACCAGTGTAATTGAAACAGTTCTAAATCACAACTGATTAAACTATTTTATATAAAAATAATTTTAACATTTTTACTCTCACCATTGCAAAATGTGCAAAGCATGGTGGGAACTACAGTTTTGTCAACAGCAAAACATATTTTTGAGTGTTCTTGAAAATACCTGATTACACTGATCCTACATAATTTAATGTATATTCTAGATATAATTCTACTATATATATAGGCTAGTAATCTAGTATGTTTTAGAGATTTCAAAGCAAAGAGAAGAGAAACAATTTTGTGGTGTAGATTACAAATAATATGACTGGGAAAACATTTTATTTTCAGTGTACATTTTGAATAATGTTCCATATATCTGCCTACAATAGTAGAATCACAGCATTTAATCACACGGAACAATCATGATACAATTTCAGTAATTTACTAATTCATTTATAGTATGTTCAATAAAACTCTCAGTCATATAAGAGGTAATTTTAGAAAGACTAACTGATATAGATGTAGTTAAGAAAATGCAAAGCATGAAAACCACACACACACACTGAGAGCCAAACAGAAGCCCTCAGCTAAACCATGATGTAACAGCGAGAAAAAAAAACGTGCAGATGAAAGAAAGGGGGTTCAAAATTACTTGATTTTTTACTGAGAAATGAGTAGAAGACACCAATTAAATTTAGATATTTTCTTTCACAAGACAAAAATACCAAGATACACATGGAATGTTTAGAATCAAGTTTCAGGCTGAGGGGCAGCTTCCTCTGGTTTTGTTGGGTTAGTGGTCGTCTTTAAAGCCACATCCTCTTTGCTTTCTTTTGCCATATCTTGCAATCTATAGAATGAAACCAAAGGAAAAAAATGGTTGAACTTGGTTGAGTATATCATAATATTTTAATCTCTTAGACAACACATTATGTAACATTTTCCAAGACTAGATAATGTTTTCTATTCCAAGTAGAGTGAGTATATATATATATATATATATATATATATATATATTAGCCCCCTATTAAATATTTCACTATTTTTCAAATAATTCCCAAGTGTTGTTTAACGGAGAGAAGATTTTAAGATTTTTTCAACACAGCATTTCTAAACATAATAGTTCATCATTTAGGAAGCTTGGAGTGTTTGTAATACAAATAGAAACAAAATTATAACCAAGAATAAAAAATCTAAAAATTATTAGTAGTCCTCTGATGTTAATAGTCAATGGTGTATCCCTTTAGCTTGATAACAGCCTTTAGTCGTTTGTTGTAGTTCTCAACAAGTTTCAGACATGTCTCCTGAGGAGTCGCAGCCCATTCTTCCTCAGCAAATCTCTCAAGCTCCTCCAGATTTGTTGGTCTCCTGGCATGGACTCTGGTCTTCAGTGAGCCCCACAGATTTTCTATTGGATTCAAGTCTGGGCTTTGTGCAGGCCAGTCAAGGATGTTCACTTTGGTCATTTGGAGTTCTTCACCATAAGTGAGGTATGCTTTGAGTCGTTATCATGCTGGAAGACAAAATGTCAACCCAAACCATGTTTTGTTGCAGATTGCCTGAGGTTGTCTTTCAAAATCTTCTCATAGTCTTCCTTTTTCATGATTCCTTCGACCCTGACAAGATTCCCAGGCAGTTCCAAACGCACTGAAACATCCCCACAGCATTATACTCCCATTGCCATGTTTCACTGTGGGAACAGTGTTCTTTGGGTTGAGCGCCTCTTCCTTCTTTCTCTCCAAATACAGGCAACATCTCTATGGCCAAAGAACTTTAGTTCCCTTTCATGGGAACGTCGAACTGCGTCCTCTAGGGGTCGCTATGGGGAACGCCTCGTCGTGACCCGTGTCTGAATCATACAATGAAAAAACACCAACAACACGTTGGCCGGCGACAGCCATGACGTCACTACCGGTGCGACTATAGTATAAATAGGCGCCGGGAGAACACATCATCCTCTTCTTCGTCTTCATTGACTGTTTTGTTTGAAGCGTGCATTTCTGTGATAAGAGCGATCTCTATTCATATCATTATGGCGAGCACTACTGATGGTCCGGACCAGAGGCTTCTTCGGACGGGACTCCGACGCGGGAACCATGGTGGGTGAGTACAATCAATTTCTAAATATATATATATATATATATATATGTATGTATGCATATGTGTATTTAATGCGCTGGTGGTTGTGTGTATAATCCTTCTGCTAGCTTTCTTTGCAGTGTTTCCCGGGACCTGTGTGTTTCTGTCCTTTTTCTAGGGTAGGTCCTCGATGAGCACCCCCTCTGTTGGATTCAGAAACTGGGTGTTCGACTTGCAGTGTTTACTTCACTCTTCGATATGATGTCCAGCCGGTATGATAGCCTAGTTTCGGCTTCCTGTTCTTGCCATGCTTCGGACGCAAGCTTCAGACGAAGAAGTGGATGATGTGTTCTCCCGGCGCCTATTTATACTATAGTCGCAACGGTAGTGACGTCATGGCTGTCGCCGGCCAATGTGTTGTTGGTGTTTTTTCAATGTATGCTTCAGGCACGGGTCACGATGAGGCGTTCCCCATAGCGACCCCTAGAGGACGCAGTGTCTCGTTCCCTACTCAGGGAACCATGGTTACACACGTAACCTGAGACGTTTTGTCTCATCTGAGCAAAGGACACGTGACCAAAGGACAAGTTTCTCCAGGTTGTCTTTCAAACTTCAGTCTAGCTTGGAGGTTTTTTGGTCAGGTTTTTTTTTTTGGTTGATAATACTTCTCACGTTAGTTCTTGCCACTTGAAAATGCTTTTATAAATGTGTATATGCTTCTCCGGCTTTGTGAGCATTAACAATTCTTTTTCTTAAGTCTAAACTAATTTCTTTTGTCTTTGCCATGATGACAGTACATATTATTTTACTAGTTGTTTTTCAAGATACTAATCCTCAGTTTACAGTGCAATTTAAAGGCTTAGAGGATTATTTAGGTTAATTAGGCAAGTCATTGGACAACAGTGGTTTGTTCTGTAGCCAATCAAACAGATAATTTCTTATGGGGGCTAATAACATTGACCTTAGCAGTTTTTTTTATTTCAGGCAAACTGAAATAAAAAAGGCTTTCTCCAGATGAAAAATATTATAAGAAATGCTGTGTTAAAATTCCCTTGCTCTGTTAAACATCACTTGGGAAATATCTGAATATTGAAATTTCATAGGGGGGCTAATAATTTTGTCTTTAACTATATATATACACACACAAACACACACACAAAAGTTTGAAAACATTCAGATTTTTACTTCTTTTTTTTTCAAGTCTCTCATGGACATAAAGGCTGCATTATGTGCTCAAAAATACAGTAAAAACACTATAAAACAGAATTACAATTTAAAATAAATAAAGTTTTCTATATGAATATATTTTGTAATGTAATTTATTCCGGTGATGCAAAGTTTAATTTTCAGCATCATTACTCCAGTCTTCAGTGTCACATGAACCTTTATAAAACCATTATATACAGTGGGTATACCATTCAAATGTTTGGGGGGTGTGTGTGTGCGCGCGTGCGTGCGTGTGTGTTTAATAGAAATTTATTTTATTCAGCAAATATGCATTAAATTGATCAAAAGTATCAGTAAAACCATTTATAATGTTGCAAAGGATTCCATTTCACATGAATACCATTCTTTTAAGCTTTTCCATTCAAATAATTCTGAAAAAAGTTTCCACAAAATATTAAGCAGCAAAAACAGTTTTTAACATTGATATTAATAAGAACCATTACTAATAACTGAGCACCAATAATAACTAAGCAAATCAGCATATAATGATTTCTTAAAGATCATGTAACATTGAGGACTGGAGTAATGACTGCTAAACATTCAGCTTTACATCACAGGAATAAATTATATTTTAAAATATATTACAATAGAAAACAGTTGTTTTAAACTGTAATACTATTTCACAATATTAGTGTTTTTACTGTATTTATTTTTTAACTTGTGAGCATAAGATACCTTATTAAAACATTTAAAAATCATAATGTTTCCAAACGTTTGTACTTTATATTAACCTTAATTGATTATTAAGGGTGGGAAGTGGGCTTAATGGACAGAAAACTTAACGGATTATTAAGGATGGGGGAAAACCCCTTTTAAAATCATTTTAAAAGTTGCTCAGAAAAAGTTTCTTTTGAGAAAAGCTCCAGCATCATTTTATAGATTCTACTTAGTTTGATATTTTATATCTAATTGAATAAAATTCAGACATTAAGTGTGGTTTATGTGTCCAAAAACGTTTTATATTATCAACGTAATCTCATGAGTATTATTAGGTATTTTATGTTAAATCTGGTTCTGCCACACGCACATTTACTTTACGTTTGCATAAACTATTCCACCAAATTGCGCATTGCCCTTTCTCCCATTCATAAGTAATATGAGTGCATCGTCTTTGTATAACTAAAGTATTTGGAAATGGCCATAGCCTTTTAAAGTATACTCCATTGATTGCATGCACAAACGCAGGTGTTTGACACGTGCACTAGCAGGTGTCATCCTTGTCCAGTGTCTGTTTAGGTGACCAGATTTCGGAAATGGAAAACTGTGACATTTCCTTGTTCAGCTTTCAAAATATAATTGAAATCTCAATTATGACTATCTATGAATTTAAAAAAAGGGGGACAATATATTTTTGTATATTTTTGTTTTTTATTGTTGTGGGATCTATATAGGCCTACTAATATTATAATGATGTTTGCAGATCAAACGTACCCTAGTTTTAATACAATTCACCAAAAATCCCACTGCACCATAGTAAATGGTAATTATTGCAAATAAACAAAACTGTATTTACCAAATATTTTTAACATTTTCTATATTTAACTTTTGGAAATGGATCCTAAGTAGGCTTATTATTTTGCATTTTAGGCTCTTCTTGAGTACAAAGTATATACTTTTTTGCAACTGTAATTGTGCAAGTGTAATTATTTAATAAATTTATTAATTTATTATTTATTTATTTATTTATTTTTCAGGACTAATTTCTATATATAGTTTATTAAAAATATTATGTACAGACAAGCAGACGAGCCTAAGACGCAGTGTGTTGAAATCACCAATGAAATCTGACAACAACTGTATCATAAATGTTGTTTATTTTGCTCAAATAGCGTAAAAAAAAGCTTATTTCTCAGGCTAGACAAGCCAATGTGCATGCGCAGTCCTAGGCACACGTCTTTACCGATTAGGGATTGGCTCTTTTGCTTAGAAGGCGGGGCTTTGTTTAATAGATCGGCCATATTGAGTGTTGCATTTTCCCCCATTCATAACTATATGAGTGACACGTATTGGGTATTCTATAGTCTTTGGTTAGAGCTACAAGGCCGGGACGTCTAGATTATAGATTCTGGCAAATGTGGATGGTGACGACCAGCCGGCAGCCGCACAGATCTCACCAATAGAGATCCCACTGGACCACGCCCAGGAGGAGGCCCTTCCTCTGGTGGAGTGGGCCCTCACACCTATGGGGCATTGCAAGCCTTCCGAGGCATAAGCCAAGGTTATGGCATCAACTATCCAGCGAGAAAGTCTCTGCTTTGTAACTGGCAGCCCTTTAGAGCAACCTCCAAAGCAAACAAAAAGCTGCTCCGACTGTCTGAACAGGCTGGAGCGCTCAAAATACACTCTCAAAGCCTTTACAGGGCAAAGCACATTTGGGACCCTGCTCGCCGTCCGCGACGGGGAGGGCCAAAAGGGTGATAATCTGGGCTCTGAACGGAATTGAGAGCACCTTAGGGACATAACTGGGAGTTTTCTGAGAGCTACGGCTTGTACCATGTGACCACTGCATCTCACGCGGAACCAGAGAAAAATGGCAGCGGTTTCAAAGAAAGCTATTACTGCTCTAAAAAAGGGGAACATAGATACATATAGATACTATAATGTACTGTAATATAAAAACATTATGTAAGTGTTCATACTGTTATTATTTTGTTCAACAAACAAACAGTAAGTAATTCTTTTTACCTGACATGCTTTCTGTGTTCTGCAATATTTAGCAGTAGCACAAATGTAATGTAATGTTGTAATTATGTGTTTGACAGCTGCCAGTAACATAACATTCTTTCACGCGGGTTCATTTTGTTGACTGTCGCTTTAGAAATGGATAATCCCCAGTCCGAGGACGTGAACAGCACCGAATTGAACATCACGTGTTGTCATCTCGGAATTATGGTAATTACGATATGGCGTGAACGCAGCATAAATCTATGGTTCACAAGTTGTAATTATGAGTTCTACGAGGACGTGAATGCTTTATACAAGTTGGTATCTCGCAATTATGGTAATTAGGATATGGTGTGAACGCACCATCAATATGGTCGCTCTATCGAAGGAAGCCCCACCTTCTAAGTAAAAGAGCCAATTGCTAATTGGTAAAGTCAATAGGCTTGTTCGACTTCATGCAGTGCCGCAAAGTGTCAGCTGCCGCCTGACAAAAGCAATGCATTCTGGTTAGAAAATTTGTCCGACTTCGATCGATGCTGTAGCCGCCTTATGATCACGTGCCATCAAAGTACCGCTAGAGCAAAACGAGACCAGCCGCCTAGGTCTGAAACGTCTGTGTATTTGACAAATATTGCATTTATTTCACTTCCTCTGATAGAGTATGCAAACACTATGCGAACGTCCGACTTGACGTCTCCACTTTTAATTCTGCCCCGACTGCAAGCAGCTACTCTCGCCAGCCAGTGGCATACTAGTGTAGTTCATCTCGAGCAAGCCTATTGCGTCGCAGCAGCTGCAGAGTTCCCAGTTGCTGTAGAAACAGTCAGCGTTCAGAGACACGCACTTAGGACTGAGCATGCGCGCTGGCTGGTCTAGCCTAAAAAGCTTTTTTTAACACTATTTGAGCAAAAGAAACAACATTTATGAGACTGTTATTGTCAGATTTCATTGGCGATTTCAAATATGAAATTTAATCTTGGTGAACCGTTTTGGAGAATTTGATGTTTCTCCATTCAAAGAGATAGGAGCTGCACTTGCATGCCTGAGATGGTGTTTCAAAGATGAATGCTGAGTGAAATTACTTGCCTTAAAGGGACTTTGGTTTAATTGCACGTTAAACATTTTTCTCCCATAGAAAATCATTATAAATAAAACATGTAACGTAGCTTAATGGATGGAGACAGTGACATTAGTTATGTTTTAATAATGAGTAGCAGCCTATACTGAGTTTGGTGCTTTATAATCATCGTTATGTGGCATAAAGCATTTTGCGGTATGGGAGGAAAACACTATACATACACATATAGTACATTTTATTATAAACTGTATATGGAATTTGGTACTTTAATCTTATGCATTAAGCCATATTACATGTTAATGGTTTTCTATACGGGAGGAAAATGCTTTACGAGAGACTTAGCGCACTGCTTTCATATTGTGCTGTTCTGTGGATACGGATTTGCAGGTCTTTCTCTCCTACATGTAATTTACAGGACCCTGTATATAATTAAGTTTTAATCATTTAACCACCAGCCACAGCGTCTTGTGTCCATTGCCAGCACGAATTATTTGTGTCGATTGCAAGTGACACTGTAATTTTGTTTCTTTTTTCCCCCTTGTCTTTACCATCTGGCTACTGTTGTAACATGTTGAGAGATTCAATAAAAAAAAAAAAAGACACTTGTGGAAATGCAGTTGACAGTGCATGCATGTGCATGTCTGCAGCCATACTCTATTGGGTGCTATCTCTCCAGAAATTATGACCGATTAACAAAAACATCAGTTTGTACTCATTTAATCTAGGACTCTCTTAACTCCTAACACACCACTTGTCAACGCGAGTGTCTGTTGTTGTTGTTCTGTCTTTACTTTTTCTTTTTCTGCCTGGGCCAGTGTTGCCACTTTGTGGATCGCATATATACACATACACTGAGCTTACCCATTGTTCTTTGGTTTTCATGAGCAAAAATATATTTCCTGACTTTAAGTGATTTTAATAATTTATCATTAGTGTATGGCTGATTTTATGGGTTACTGAGGTTAAGGGTTTAAAGCTTGGGCTTAGAGGTCATGAATGGTCATTAAAAAAATTGACCTGGGCTGGGGAGCAGGTCGGATACTTGGCAAGACATCCCAGCTGGACGTTAAGCTGTCATGTGACGAAGAGAAACAATCACAAAGCAATCACAAACAAACATGATCAAAGAATGGTATGATTAAGAAGAAAATATATACACAATTACATACAGTACAAGACAATCTACATTGTAATAATTAAGTTGAGTCAGTTTTCTAATTCATGAATTCCAAATCAGATTTTTATTTATTTTATTATTTATTTATTTATTTCACCACAGAGTTAGCAGAAAACATTAATATTGGGCAGTTATCTTTTTGCCATTGTTTAATTGATTTAGTTACAAATAATGTTTCTAATAACTACAGATGCATTAGGCAGAATGTGTACAAATGGAGTGTAAACTGTATTTGGGCATATTGTTCTCTGTCGATTATTTTAACTTAGCTTTTTTTATAAGAAGCCTGTAATTTGTGTAGTTTTTATTATGTATTGCTTAATTCTTTTACATTACTGATGTAATTATTTGTGTTTATATTTATTTATTCCTGATTGCCTCCTACAAGACAAGACATGGCAAGACAATGTTCTTCAGTATTGTATTTTTCAAGAAGACAATATTCTTGCCAGCTTGCATTAGAAAACACTACGGTTACTGATGTAACCTTGGTTCCCTGAAATAAGGGAACGAGCATTTTGTATGTGGGAAAACTCCTGTTTTACTCTGTACTGAAGCCTGATTTGCTCACATTTGTGTAGCTGCACAAACCAATGGCGCTTTAGCCCGCCAGAGGGGGCGGAGCTGACCTCTATATAAGTTGGCTCGCAGCGCCATGTCATCAGAATCATTCGACTGAAGCGACAGTCATCGATTCGTGTGCAGCTTATAGCACGGCCAGTGACAGCGCTCGTTCCCTTATTTCAGGAAACAGAGGTTACGTCAGTACGTCAGAACATTCCCTTTCAAACTTTCTCTCACGTTGTGTATGGGGAATGCATCCAATTACGCCGTGCTATGGGCAGATAAAGAACGACCTGCTCTGCGAGCTCAGTCTTGGAGCACTTAGTTAAGGGCCCCTGAAGAACATAAGCTAACTAAGCCCCAAGCATAGCTGAGGGCTATCAACACTACCATTTCCACCCTTAGGAAGAAATAGGCAGATTAAACAGACAAAACCCATGCCTGCAAGGCCGGGACGTCTAGATTATAGATTCTGGCAAATGTGGATGGTGACGACCAGCCGGCAGCCGCACAGATCTCACCAATAAAGATCCCACTGGACCACGCCCAGGAGGAGGCCATTCCTCTGGTGGAGTGGGCCCTACACCTATGGGGCATTGCAAGCATAAGCCAAGGTTATGGCATCAACTATCCAGCGAGAAAGTCTCTGCTTTGTAACTGGCAGCCCTTTAGAGCGACCTCCAAAGCAAACAAAAAGCTGCTCCGACTGTCTGAACAGGCTGGAGCGCTAAAAATACGCTCTCAAAGCCTTTACAGGGCAAAGCACATTTGGGACCCTGCTAGCCGTCCGTGACGGGGAGGGCCAAAAGGGTGATCATCTGGGCTCTGAACGGAGTCGAGAGCACCTTAGGGACATAACCATGTCTAGGCTTGATGATGACTTTACAGTCGTTGGGCCCAAACTCAAGACAGGAAGCACTGACCAATAGTGCTTGTAAGTCACCCACTCGCTTGACCGACACTAATGCTAACAGTAGGGCAGTTTAAGCGACAAAGGCTGCACCTCGGCCGAATGGAGTGGCTCAAAGGGAGGGCCTCGCAGATCCCTCAGGACTACAGCCCTTCAAGAATGTAACGATCAGATCGTGTCTGCCGATCTATTGGCCAGCTTCGAGGGAATGACTCACTGCGATAGCTGCCACATAAACTTTGAGTGTGGAAGGGGTGTACCCATTGTCCAACAACTCTTGTAAGAAGGTTAGCACGTGGAACACGTCACAAGAGACCGGATCCAGACTTTGTGCGGAACAGTCACGGAAGACTGACCATTTAAAGGCATAAAGGCGTCTAGTAAATGCCGCTCTAGTCTTCAAAATGTTGTTGCTTTCTCTCTTTGGGAGCTGCATAGGCTTCTGTTGAGGCTTCGAACATGAAGGCTCCACAACTCCCATCGGGGATGCCAGATCAAGACATTCGCCTGCGAGAGAAGGTCTTTCCTCAGTGGTATCGGCCACGGGGCTGCTACTGAGAGCTGCACTAACTCAGGGAACCAGGCTTGGTTCCTCCAGAGTGGGGCCACCAAGAGGACTGAGCATTTGGTCTCCCTGACCCGCTTGATGACCTGAGGAAGCAGGGCTATTGGCGGGAAGGCATACAGGTGAGCACTGGGCCAATCATGGGCCAGAGCATCTTGCTGCATTGAGAAATAAGTTGGGCAGTGAGAGTTGTCTTCTGAGGTGAAGAGGTCTACCTCTGCCCTCCCGAAGACAGATCAGATTCTCTGAACCGTTTGAGGATTGAAGTCCATTCTCCTGGAGCTACATTGCTTCTGAACAGCATGTCTGCACTGAGGTTCAAACTGCCTGGCACATGAACTGCTCTTAGCGAGAGGAGTTCGTTCTGTGCCCACAATAGGAGGCGTCGATCCATCCTGTAAAAAGGACGAGACCTGAGACCGCCTTGGTGGTTTATGTAGGCTACCACCGTCGTGTTGTCTGACCGGACCAGGACATGGTGCCCACTTATGGCTGTCAGGGCCAGGAAATCAGCCAACAACTCTGGGCAGTTGATATGCAGGCATCGCTTCGGGGCTGACCAGGAGCCGGACGCTGGATTGCCCTCCAACAGAGTGCCCCAACCCGAGTTGGAGGCGTCTGTGGTGACCACCTTCATCCTGAGGTCAGTCTCAACTGTACACCTGCTTAAAACAGGCGAGGAGTTGTCCATGGGACCACAGTCTTGACACAGCGGTGGTTTACCCTGATGTAAAACTGGCCCAGGCACCACGTGTGGGACCGGACTCAGGCTTTGAGCCAATATTGGAGGGGCAGAATATGAAGCAATCCCAGAGTAATCGCAGAGAAGGCCGCCACCATGAGGCCTAGCAACCTCTGAAAAACCTTGAGAGGACGGGAAGTCCCCGATTTGAGGGAAGCCGCCAGTCGTTGAATAGTCAGGGACCGCTCCGGCGTTATCCAAGCCCGCATCTGGGCAGAGTCTATAATTGTGCCCAGAAAGACAGCTAATTCGGATTCTTATCTGCCTCAGAGGGAAAAGAGCCGTGTCTATGCAGTTTAAAAGTGCGAGAGGCCAGAGACAGTCCAAACGGTAGGACCACATACTCATAGGCCACTCCCTCAAACGCGTCTGCAGGACGTGACTCGCTGGAAACAATTCTCCATCTCTCAGAGGTGCTCGAAGGGAAGGCTGAATGCCAGCTGTCTTTGAGGGAGTTCCGGCTGAGGCGAGAACTGACCCCCTCCTCTTCCTCTCTGCAGGATCAGAATGGCTTCGTGGGCTCAGGGTCCAGCGCTACTCAAGGGCGGGGACCTTGGCACTTCGAGAATGGAAACCGTTTAGCCATCCCTGGGTGCTGCTGATGCCCAGGCTCCACTTTCTGCTGGGGCTGAGGCTGCGCCAGCTTCGCAGGCTGAGTGGCGGGGGCTTTCTGGCGACTAGCAGTCGCCGAACCAGAGCGCTTAGGGAGGAAGTGATGCAGCGCTTGCAACATCTTCGGAGCCTGAGAGAATCGCTCCACAAACCTGTCCACAGCAGGGCCAAAGAGGCCTTTCAGCGAGACCGGGGAATCGAGGAAGGCCATCTTTTCGGCATCCCTGATTTCGGTTAGGTTAAGCCATAGGTGGCTCTCCAGCAACACCAGGCTAGCCATTGTCTTGCTAATCGCCTGCGCTGTAGCTTTCGTAGCGCGCAGAGCCAGGTTGGTTGCTGTGCGCAGCTCCTTGAAAGCCTCTTGGTGTTGGCCGGACTCGTCCATGTCGCAGAGAAGTTTGGCCTGGAACACTTGTAATACCACCATTGCATGCAGAGCAAATCCAGCCTGGCCAGCTGCTGCATATGCCCTGTTGGCTAAGGCCGAAGTGATCCTGCAGGGCTTGGAAGGATGCGCTGCATGGTCTTTTAACCCCTGAGCAGATGGATGACACAAGTAGGCAGCTACCGTCTCCTCCAGAGGGGGGAGATTGCTGTAGCCCCTCTCTTCAGTGCTGTCAACAGTGGTGAGAGCCACTGTAGTGGAGGAATTAACTCGGACAAAATAGGGGACTCGCCGCTTCTTGGTGAGTTCCTTGTGAACCGCAGGCAAGAAAGGAGCAGGCCGTTGGCAAGAGGATTGCTGATGGCATCCCAGAAGGAACCACTCGTCCAATAGGCCATGGGCAGGTTCATCTGGAACCGACCACTCCAAGCCAAGATCCTCCACCGCCTTAGAGTGAACGCGGTCAGCTCGCTGTCTGGTTTCGGCCATGCTGGATGAGAGGGAGGAAGGGCTTTGGGCTCTTCCCCGGAACATCCCCATTCCTCGGCGTCAGACGCTGTCAAAGACATGATATCATCAACTGCAATCTCATTGACAGCAGTCTCTTCCTCAGAGACACCAAAGGAAATCAAACAGCAGAAGAGGGGCGTTGATCTTCCTGCGTGAAGCGGGAACCGGCGGGACGAGGCAAAGCAGGCAGGGAGGAGCACACGGGCACTGAGCCGACGTGAGACTGCTCGATTCTGCTGCTTAGCTTTTTCTTCCTCTTAGGAGAGAAAGGAAACAGGAGAGCAGAACGGGAAGGACCGTCTTTAAAGAAGGCGATCCGCGAGCGGAGACAGGCAGCACTCATGTTCTAGCAGTGAGAACACGAGCCTTCAATGAGTGCAGCCTCTGCATGGGCGCTGCCCAGGCAGGCAACGCACTCGCTGTGCCCATCAGCCACACTCGGGGTGCGACATTTGCAACAACGCACGCTGGAAATTTGCTCAGAAAAGTTGCCAGATGGCCGCAGGGGAAAGCTGGTATTCCTCTGCCAGGGGCTCTTCAACGGCGGTCTTCGTCTTCGGCTTCTTCCTGCAGAGTCAGCGAATAGATTATCCTCGTCGCTGAAGGACAAGATTCTGAGGAAATGGTGCTGCAAGCCGACATATATAGAGGTCGCCTCCGCCCCTTCTGGCGGGCTACACAAACGTGAACAAATCAGGCTTCAGTACAGAGTAAAACAGGAGTTTTTCCCCATACACAACTTGAGAGAACGTTTGAAAAGGAACAGCGCTATTGCTTTTTAGTGACTTCCCCCCAAATTTGAACCGTGAACTGAATTTAATTTTAAATCTTGATTACTGAAAATGTAGATGACCTCAACTGGACAGGACTTTCTTGTGTGATAAACAATTATCAGGCCGTCATTGCTGTATATTTGTTTTTTGGAGTTGTTTTATTCAATTAAAAAAATTTCTATAATGAAATGCTGCTTTATTTTTATGTGCCAGATTCTGCTTGTTGTTCTGAATATATATATACAGTATATATATATATATATATATATATATATTATCATACATGTTAGGTGAGTGTGAAAACCAGATAAAAAGGTCAAAAAGCAGAAAATTATTTGAGGAATTACACACATACAGATAATGCATTCTTGGCAAGTTTTGAACTGCACACATGATTGTGTGTATAACAGTGCATGTACAAAAGCTATTGAAGACCATTACATACCATCTCCAGCCAGCTTTTTAAGACACATGAGAGATGTTTGGATTGTTAACATTCTTACCGAATAGTTTTCACAATAAAGCAGATGATAACAGCCAAGCCTATACACCCACACAGAGATCCGATCACAATAGCTGCGATTTCACCTTAGACAGAGACAAGATGTTAAATTTCTCAAGAGAACTGTAATAATTGAGCAAAAATTAAGCATAAAGATCTCTTCTTAGAGAACTGATTTAAAAAATAACAATAAAGACAGCAGTTTAATAATTAGTGCTGTCAATAAATTAAAAATATTTACTAATTCATTGCACATTTTTTCTTAAATAAATCGTGATTAATCTCACCTAACATTAAAGGTTTTAAATATACTTTTATATTGCAATAATTTCACATTAAATCTACAAATTAATGTAGAAACAACAAAAAACAACATATTTTTAATATTTATTTAATGCCGTTGTTTTGTATGATTGAAGGCTAGTATCACTGATACCTATACTACTGATGACTTATTTTTTTCCTAATATTTAACCATTGACTATAGCCATTCAACATTACAGCATAATTAAAAGCTATCAATTTGAACATTTATTACTTTAAAAAATAACAACTTCTAATTTAAGTCAACTTAAAACAACCTTCACGTAAACCCATTTTAATAAATGTCATATTTACCTGTACCTTTCAGGAAATAAAAAATATACAGAAATTGAAAAAGTTATCACTAAACTCTAAATTAATTATAGATGAATTCTTAAAGCTACAAAAGTTATTGATTTCCTCTTTTTTCTTTTGTTCTTTGATGAACAGACATCATAGCTGGGTTATTATGTTATTTGGCTGCTATTTAATATGAAATGATACAGGCTACATTTGTATCAATATATTTGTGCATGCAATTGAAGAGCATGCGCTACGAGCACAGTATAACAGCTGACATGACAGAGAGATACGGTTTAACTGACATATGGCCTGACAGCATCTCATCTGACCGCAGTTCACTGATGTTCTACTGAAACTCCTCGTCATCTGTACCTTTTCCTCACTCGTTGATTAGCGCTCCTGAAAATTCTCCTGTTTGATGTGTTCATAAAGACATGCTGTGTCTAAATAAACGCAATTCTTGTCAAGAAAAAAAGAGACAGAAGCAGCAGTTGTGCGTGGGGTTGCCAACCCTAGCTCCGCCCTGTGTTAACTGTGTTAAGTATTTTTAATGCTGTTAAACTGGAAAAAAAAAACTGCCTGCGTTAACATGCTAATTTTGACAGCACTAATAGTAAAATTTAATGTTTAGACAATAAAGTGGTTAATATAATAATTAGTATAAAATATTTCTCACCTGCAGTATAAATTTTAACTGAGACTGGAAAGAGAAACAGGGTGAGATAAAGAGAAGTTAGAGACAGCATAAGCACTATGAATATGTAAATGAATATAGAATTGCAATTTTGACAAATGACAATTCTATATTCATTTACTCATCCTTAAGTTATTCCAAAATTGTATGTTGTAATTGTTTTGGTGGAACACAACAGGCCAATTTTCGAAGAATCTTTATGCTGCTCTTCTCTGTGTAAAACAGTTCATAGTATGTCATTTAGGTAAACTATTCCTTTAAACCTGAGCTTCCAAATCATCCCTGGAAGAGAGAAAAAGGGTGTGTGCTGATCACTGTTATTTATATTGGAAGCATTTGAAACAATCCTAAATAACTTCATCAAGCACTGTTACATCATCTGAGTCTTATAGCTGCTTTGTACTGCTCTCCACACTCGGGCACACACTCACACAGGCTCACATGATTACAATAAACTCTGTGTTCACAAGAGATTTTGAAAAACTAATCAGCCAGCATATAAACAAAGAGCACAGTTACATAATCCCCCACCCCCAGCTCTGCTCTTTCCCCCCTTCCCTCTTTCATTCTTTTTCGCTCTCTCCTACCCGGAATGAAAGAGGACAGGACAGTTCTGTGATTGAGTGGCTGGGTGGTGCGGTAGTTATCCTGGAGAGCCATGGGCTCTGCCTCTTCTTCTTTACTGGAGTACAACACTGTTTGCAATTTCATCAGCTGAGAAGAGAAGAGAAGAGAAGAGAAGAGAAGAGAAGAGAATAATGTGTCAGCCATGTAAATGACATACAGTTCAGTCATGAAACTCTATATTTCACAAGCTAGAGGGTTCTTTATATATAAAATTTCAGTGAGATTGCATGCTCCCTACCTATACATCTAAGCCAAGACTGTAAATACACCAAGACAGTTCACTCATATTTACTTGAATAGGGGGAAAAAACAATGTGCATTGCACAATATGACGAACTCTTGCATTCTATATATTACAGAACCATTTGCCAAACCTAGTAATGCATCGTGTTACTACAGCTGCCATGATGACTATACATATGCATTGGTTGGACCAAACTGAAATATACATTATTTGAGCATAAGAAACAGCATTTATCGGAGAGCTCATGACAGATTTTTATTTTGAAATACGGTATGTTATTTAAATATGAGTTTGGAAAACAGTTTTTGAGATTTCAGAAATTCCTCATTCCCCACGAACTGCTGAATATGAGAAGTTTGCATCGCTTGTGCTTTTACTAAGACTCTTTGTACCTGTGAGTGAGAGATTTTAACTCTTTCATTGAAGATAATCCAGAGGACACTCTGGTGGCAGGGAGGAGTGGTGAGCGAGCCGTTGTAGCGGAAATATTGGCTGAGGTTGTCAGGCAGCAGCAACTTTATATCAAATGCAGGTATAGCCACCTTCTGGCCTAGAATAAATTAAACCAATATAAAAAATTTGATTTACAAAGTAATCCCAAAAGGCTGAAGCACGATAATCATACATGTGTACACATACACGGACATGCACACAAACACATGCCTGCATATCTGATGTGGCCCAGATAGTTAAAAATACTGCCATATCCTTGATTAATCTCCTCGCCTGCCTGAGAAAGCAAACAACTGAATGAGATACAGATAGACATTTATAAAAAAAAACATAATATTATGTGGATATTAATATGTTTAGAGTAAAAGCAAAGAACTCACCTCAATTAGGATTGCCAACACAGCCAGGCCATTCTCCTGGGTCTTAGCTTCTGACATATTAGCATAAATCTCTGTATTGTAATGGACAATATGGAGCTGACAGAAAAGAAAGAGAGTGTCTTTGAGTTTTAGGCATCTTACAGAAGACAATTTTCACTGAATTCCTTGTTAATAGCTGATTATATGGGAATCCCCCAGATGTGTTTTTATTGTCTAAAACCATAATAGGAACACAACATTTTATTGGCTGACGGCACTGTTGTGGCCCCATGAGGAACTGCGTCACCAGCATCTCATAAGGAAGTGTCTGTACCTTCTGTCAGGATCATGGACCTGTTTTGTTATGTTTTGCCCCTGTTTCTGTTACTGTGTTCCCTTATTTGGTCATGTTCCTGTCCTCGTTTAGTTAATTAGTCATTCTGTGCACCTGTGTTTGGTAATTGTCCTGTGTTTATAAGTTCTTGTCTGAGCATTTCTCCTCTGTCGGGTCTACTTGTTGTGAACGTCATCCTTGTGCTCTGTCTCCCTATTGGATCATTAAAAGACTCTCGTTCTGAGAAATCTCCACGTCTCCTCATTTTGTCGTGCCCGTTCTCCAGCAAGAGGTGAATGTGGGTGTGGAAGTCAATCAATGAAAAATTAATGAACAGCATATAAGAAAATGTTTGTTTGACTCTTTATAACGTGTTATGGAAGCTCATAATGAAGTATTAGCTAAGTGTTAAGTCATGCAAAGTTAATGAGGAGACACGTGGTTACAAAAGCATAGACTACACAGACACACACACACACACACACACACACACACACACACACACACATTTTTTCAGTGCTGAAACATTCTGTAGTGAATTTAGATGTTAAAAGACAAAGGAGGGACAGATCAACATAAAAGAGACCAAACTAAGATTTCAAAATGTTTACTAAAATAAATATTTTTATTGTACAATAAAAGAAAACCTCTGCATATCAGTCTGAGTGTTTCAGCTTGGTGCCAAGTCAGTTCTGTATACAAAGGGATTAGAGGCCCACTCAATCTCACTGTTCACCAAGAATATCCCCCCAAACCCCTGTTCAACTCCAAAAAGTGGGGAGGGGGTGGCAGAGTTGCTCTGGTTGATCTGTAGTTGCCAAGGAGATCTCTATGACAGCTGACATACTCCAGGCCACTGCCAGTTTACCTCTTGCATGCTTCCCCAAACATGGACAGAGAACAAAGCATCACTCAAACAAGTAACATTTTGTTCAGAATTAATGGGTTGGCACAACAATGGCACATTTCTGAAAATTTTCATATAAAATATAAATATAACCTAGACAAGTTCTTGGCAGGTTGCAGATTCACCCTCATTATTTGCTGAAACCATTATTTGTTGTTGTGTATTTAGCAATACACTGATTAGGCCTTATTATACATGCAGCCTGGTGTAATTGTTTATATGTTCGGATTAGTATGTAACGTTTACAAGCACAAAATGTACATTTTTGTAAGTTTTTATGATTAAACCAGAAAAATGCAAAATAAATGAACAAAACCAATTTTTAAAGCTTGGGCTCTTAAACCTTAGATCACTCGCACCCAAAGCAGTTATTGTAAATGAAATTATCACAGATAATAGTTTTGATGTACTCTGCTTGACTGAAACCTGGCTAAAACCAAATCATTATTTTGGTCTAAATGAGTCTACTCCACCAAGCTACTGTTATAAGCATGAGCCCCGTCAGACTGGTCGTGGCGGCGGTGTT